TGAGCGTATTGCATGTCGGGTGAGAGATTGGCCCGAGAGCGCATTGGTAGGCGCATTCATTGGAGGATTCAAGGCCGAGCTAGTGGCCAAAGTGAGATTGGATAGACCGATGTCCACACGAACTGCCATGGAGTCCGCGCGATTGCACGAGGACCACATTGCCGCGGAGCGCAAGGCCAACAGAGGCGAGGGTCGCACGGACGGACAGCGCGCGAGCGCTGCAGCCGACGAGACGCCCCCATGGGCCAACACCAAACCAAACGACAAGGGCGTACGGACCACGAGCCACATGCGACGGCTTATGACCGAGGAAATCCAACGATGGCGCGAGAAAGGATTATGCTTTACATGCAATGAGAAGTTCACGCCAGGACATAGGTGTGCGGGAAAGCAAGTATTCTTGCTTGAGTTTGATGAGGATGAGCCGGAAAGAGAGGAGTACGAGCACACCGAGCGAAAGAAGACCTTGCTACATGTGATCAAAAGCAAGAAGAGAGGTCCAAAGATGATACGGTTCACGGCCACCGTACAAGGCGAGGAGCTCGAAGTGCTAGTGGACAGTGGATCGACCCTCAATTACATAGACGAGGAGTTGTCCAGACGGTTGAAGGTACCTATGACTAGCATAAAGCAGTTTGGGGTGAAGGTTGTGAATGGAGAGGAACTCAAGAGTTCCAAGTTGTACAAGAAGGTTCCGATATACGCACAAGCCCAAGACTTAAAGGTTGAGCTATACGCCTTACCTTTGATGGGACCGGACATAGTACTTGAAGTTCAATGGCTCGAGACATTGGGGCCTATCACGACGGATTACAAGAAGGGGACCATGGAGTTTGGGCGAGCCCGAAAGCGAATTAAGTTGCAAACGGAGGATCCAAGAGAAGAGCCGAAGAAGTCGAGGAGATCAATTTCATCATCCTTGAGGACAAGGAAGTTCTCGAAGAGGGCGAGAATGATAAAGATGTGGTCATCGATTCTTGCGAGCCCGAGGACGAGACCTATGATGGCCTAAGAGAGTGGAGCGAGAATAGGCGGGAAAGGCCTCAAGGAAGTGGTAAAAGTGTGCGTAAGCATAGTAAGAGACGCGCACCGACAGTGCACGGCAACCGAGCCCCGAGGCGCGCGAGTCTAGGCCGAGTAAAGAAAAGGTACGTGATGGGAAGTACGCGCGAGTATGATCAATGGGCTGACGACGAGTGCGAGATGACAAGGCCCGACAAGGTGGGTGAATGGTGCAAAGCGTGCGCGAGGGAAAGGCGCGTACGGCGCATGAGGCTAAGACATGCGGTGCACGAGGGGTGCATGTAGGATGGACAGGCGTGCACGTGGGGCGGCTGCAATGAGACGGACGCGCAAGAGGGGACGGACCCGAAGTGGCGCGCGGATGGACGGGGCTCAACGCGCGAGGCACTGGACGAGTGGGAGGACGATGCCAAAGGGGCGAGCGTGTGCAGCAACCGCGCAGGTGGCGGGGACGCACGCGAAGTGATGGGCGAGTGAGAGAAAGAGGCCGAGCGAGCTGACATGTGCGGCACTCGCGAGGGACGAACACGCACAGTCAATGGGGCGCGAAGGAGCGACGTAGGCTGGGCGCACGCATCCAGCTGGGACGCGGACGATACCGCGCGCGACAAGGACTAGTGCTGGCAGGCGGCGCGAACAAGTGGGCGGTTGAGCGCGAACAAGCGGGCGGTTGGGCGCGACCAACTTGCGGGACAAGAAAAGGAATTGGGACGAGATTTCCCTAGCTTATTTAGGATTTTTAGTATGGTTAGGAATTTGAATAAAAGGCATGTGTCTATTAGTATGTTATTTGCATGGAAAGTCTTGATTTGCAAGACATTTAGTTTTCTTAGGATTTTATTGTCTTTCAAGTTTTAGTATTTTAGTTGGATTAGGACTAGATTTATTCAGCATCTATAAATACCAATGTACTCTAGTATTTTCGAATATGAATTGATGAGTGAATAGAAAATCGAACGTTTGTTCAAAGTTCTCGTGTGTTTTCTCTCGTGAGTTTACATAGAGTTCGTGATAGAAATAGGACCAACATCTGAGTTTCGTCACACCTATCGCGAAGTACGAAGGCGTCGGCGCGCGTATTAGCAACCTATCGCTTAGAAACTAAGGCGTCGGTGCGGGGTTCGAAGCAATCGAGTTGGACGGAACATACGATCCTTCATCACCCAGGCCCGCGCCGCGACACCTGCCCTGGACAACTCTGCGCGCGCGCAACACTCCTCCGCGCCGCTGCACCAGATGCCTCCACGCCGCGAAGCCCCTCCACGCACGCAACGCTCCAGCCCTTCACGTCGCGCCAAGGCATCACGTCAAACCACTCCAACCCCTTGCGTCGTGCCACGTCCACCTCACGCCGTGACCATCTCTCCTATATATATGTGCGGACTGATCAGAGCAGGACTTCCCACGCACCTACTGGACAGAAAATCTTACCCTCTCCTCTCCTCTCTCGTTCTTTTCATATTTCTTTTCATCTTTTCCTCTAAAAACACAAATTGATCGTGGATTTCATCGGGATTTTATCGATCGTAAGATTATCTCTTCTTTTAATTGATGTTCCTCTAGGCCAAAATTGCCTTTTCTTTTCCGCTGAGTCATTTTCCTTGTTGAATTCTTTGATTGAGATAATTCTTTGTGTTGAATTGATGTTGAGTAGCTAAATTCAATTGCTAGGGAATAGGGGATTAATGTTTTGGATTCGTTCGTGATTGTTGGGATTCGTTGATCATTCAGTTTGTGCGAGTCATTCTTAAATAGGGTTTCAATTATCGTACTTGAAAATTGAGAATTGTTGAAGGGTGACACTTTAATCTCCAATTGTTTTTCAATTGAATTTGATTCGTTCTTGCATGATGTTGTTAATTCTAAACGGACTAGTTGATTAACCATCCTCTAGTCTAATTTAATACTCTTAGAACCGAAAGGGGAAGAGTTGGTCGAAATAGGCTCGCATAAACTAGGCTTGTTCGTATATGTATTGTCTAGGTGTTAAACGACTCGTTAACTTGTCGTTCACGTCTGTCCTCTTATTACGAAGAGTTATTAGGGATGAATCTCTTAACGAGTGGATCATTAGAATCATTTAACTGAACGATCACTTGTCCGAAAATTGCAATTCGAACCAAACGGATATCCCCGACTCCTTAGCTTCTTTAATCTTGCTTGTTAATCGCCTTGCTTTGATATTTCTATTTGCTTTATGTTATTTGATATGTCATAGTTAATAATCGAAAAACAAACTTCTGAATTAGAATGTTTAGGAAATTGATTCCTTCTTTTTGTTGAATAAACGTGTAAAGTAATCCGGCTAACCTTACTTGCGATTGCGATATGACTCGGGGAACGAAGCTTTCAATTCTACTCCGGTAAAAATATTTACAGCACTAACCACATACCTATTATGGTGGTTATGGAAAGCGCGAAATCTTTGGATCTTCAGAAAAGAATGGATGCCGGCTCAGTACATTATCAAGCTTGCAATCGGGGGCTGGCAGGAACATGCTAGGAGGAACTGCAGTTAAGCTAATGAGGCTATGGGGAGATGTCTAGGTCCGGTTGGTGCAATTGGCTCTCTTCATGCCTTTTTGGATTTTTCTTTAGCTTCTTCTGTTTTTGAAGTGCTTGTTTCTTTTTAGTTATTCTGTTGTTGCAATAGTATTAGTTCTGGTTTGTGGCACTTTGCAGCTTTGGATATCTGAGGAGTATTAAGGGTGACAGTACTCTTATTGGCCTTAGTACGTGCTTAGGAATTATTTTCTTTTGCCTGTTGTAATTATCGGGTTGGTTATTTAGGGAACCTGTGTGTGGTGACTCTCCTGTATTAGGGTCAGTTGACTCTCANAAGCACTAAATAATCACTATTCAAAGAGGATGAAAGCAAGTTAGAAGTGTGGACAAAATTATCATTTGTCCTAAATTTTACACTTGTACATAAAATCCACTAGCCAACCAAATCGCTAATATTCCGGCGAAACACATGCTATTTTTTTCGATAGAATTTAATAATAAAAATACATAATTACAATTGGATAACTGAACGAAATTAGGAGGACTATCTAAGTTAGCCTAAATACCACAACACAATACAAAAGAACTAAAAAAACTCCCAATATTAAAGAATACACATGCTTTAGTGAACATTTTTGCAATTCTCACCATAGTTTTTAAACCCGGCCCGGTAATCGACCCGGGCAGGTCCTCAGGTCACCAGGTCATCGGTTCAACCGTCGGGACACCGGGTCAATTGCTAAACCGGATAATTAATTCAAAAATTTTTAAAATTATATATAGAGTATTTTTGTCATATAAATATAAATAAAAGTAACAAAATAAATGTTTTGTGTATAAAATTTGTACATTAAAGCGTTAATAATATGTATCTCATGATAAATATTTACCATATAAACATATATACATAATTTTATTTTTAAAAAACAAAAAAATAAAAAAAAATATATGGACCGGGTCAACCGGGTTCACCCGGTCGGGTCAATGCACCGGGTCGGCCGGGTCAAGGCCGGGTTGGCCGGGTTTTGACTGGGTTTGACCGGGTCCTTTGTTGCCCGGTCCAAATAGTCCACCTAGACATTTTCGGATCCGGGTCAACTGGGTCCCGAGTCGACCCGTCGGGCCGGACCGGATCAAAAAAACAATGATTCTCACATTTAATTATTGCTCCATCTGAACCGAATTATTTCGGGTTAAAAAATCTCTTTCTAGTTGACGGGGTGAGCATTTTGGCAATTCTCACATTTAATTATTGCATAGTTTTTGTCCAATTTTTATATTTTCATGCATAATTTGCACTATTATTATTAGTTAGTTGATATTTTGACGTACTCATTATCATAACTTTCAAGGATTTACTATTATCTAAAAATTATATTTTGTTTTTCAATTTATTTTACACTATTCATAATGTAATGTATATATTTTATTGTATTAATAAAAAATAATAATCCAAAAACATTAAATAAACTACATGAAAAGCATAATTTAAAACTACAAAATAACATGGATTATCCATAATGTGCCAGTGCACTTTACTAGTTCCATAAAAATGAATAACAAGGACAAATAATTCAAGTCGCTTTAGCAAAATATACGTAGATTCCTGACCCACCTAAGAACGAACTAAAAAAAATAACAAACGTGGACTAATTTTTGCATCAAAAGGCTGAGAAAGAATCACCCAGGCTTTGCTGAGAAGCTGCACCAACCTAATAACACTAATATGATTTATTACTACTAAAATGGCAGCCATCCAGAATCAAACCGCGGCACCAAAGAGGCTCCAATCATTCACCTTGAAACTTTGGACCGCATTTTTAAAGACCTCACTCATAGGCATACGTCCAGTCTGTGCTGCAGGTACCGCTAAACCAGCCCCAACAGTAGCAGCAGATTCACTCAAAGGGCTATAAAAAGGAAAAATGCAAATTCATGAGAAAATGCATAATGTTTGCTTTCAAATATGGGCAATTGGTATAATAAATCAACATCGAAGGATGATAAAACAGATAGTAAATACAAGATTCGAGTTCCCATAGGATTTATAACGGCAAGAGTTATAATTTGCAACTTACTTAATCAGCATAGGCTCATAAGCAATGATGAGGACATCTGTGGTAACATCCTTCAGGCGCAAATTAGCCAAATAGACCTGGAAAAACACCCGCTTGAGATCCAAGAGAAGAAGATCAACTAATTACTCTATGAAGAAAAGTTTAAGTGTACCTTTACTATGTTCTGTGCGTCCCTTCCTTGTCTTCCCTTAGATATCGCCTATGTAGATATGCAAAGTGCATTATTAAGTATAGAGATGAAAAACTATTTTGTTATCGAACATGTTGATATCAAGAACTGTTACAAAACCAAGTTGCATAATTTGACTCATCAATTCCCAGTGGCATATATCTTAGTTTTATTTTTCGGGGCCTAGAATAAGCATGTTGATCATGACGAAAAGTGACAAATAAAATAATGTTCGAGATGTTATAGTGCACATTTAAAAGAAAATCATGAATTTAAATTTCGAGCAATCCAACCATTGCTTCTTTGTAAGTCCACCATATTTTAATTGAAATAATGCATTATAAGAAAAAAATATCCACTGAACCATTAGTCTCTTGACATTTTAGCAAAAGATTAAATAGTCCAATTGGCATCAATTTCACCTTTCTAAAAGTGAATCAAGCATTTCACAAGAACCATTGTACAGATCTATGTCAGCTAAGGAAGCAAAGGCAGTATTATGCTGAGCCCATTAACTCAGATAAAGAGGGGAAAATGAAAAGATGTCCCAGTAGGACTGTTCATCAAAACATGTGTGCAGACAAGGAGACAGAATATGTGTGTAGTAACATAATTTCTCCTTTTTTTTTTCTCTCTGCATGGATGTTGGTTTGGTACTCAAAAAAATTGTTTCTTAAGCTAATAAAAGAAGAAACGGTGTCAAGTATGTCAACTTCACAGTAATGAAAGCAGATTAATGTATTCTAAATAAAAGTGCAGAAGAGAAGATTCTATGCACCATTTGTCCAACTGCAGTTGTTATGATACCAGGATTGTTCCTAAACCGTAGTCCATCAGCCTGAAAAACTTCAGACTGCTCAAGCACCTGCAATATTCAAAGAAGAAAAAAAATTTAACATCACTATTATCCATAAAACTCAATAAGGCCAAATCCTATGTTGCACCGATCACTCCTACAGTTGACAACAACCTAAGAACAAAAAAGTGGCAGCAATAGACTACAAGTCTCCTGTCCTTTTCCTTTTTTCTATAACAAAAAATATGCTTCATTTCTTAATCTTTTTAAAGAGAGTAAAAACTAATGAAACCATCATTTGAACTGTTCATTCTTCCAACATTACGGATCTGTTTCAAAGAAAGGTTACCCAAATGGCACACTTCGTTAAGCAAATAATATTGCACAAGAACAAGGAATATGTCATCAAATATAAATAACGCAGACGGTACTTCAGAAAAAAAAAATCTTTACGCAAACAAAACCAGCTTTATAAATTTTCCGTGACAGAAATATGCATATAAATTCAATAAAATAGAGAATGCTTGTCATGAATAAGTGTCCGTTAGTTATCAAATCACCAAAAAGAGACGAAATCCATCTTGACTGGTGGAAGCAAAAAAATTAAAACATATGACAATTGCAACCTTTTCCTCACAGTGCACAAGCAAAGATCAAAAACCTGAAAGGAATAGACACTCGATATGCAATCACATCCTCTAGTAAACGTAAGATTGCTCTCATCAAAGCAAATAGTGCACGCATTAAATATTTCCCCTCCCATCCGCTTTTCAAACTTGTACGCTCCTGATAGCAACAGAGCTTCATAACACATCCAAGGTAACTAAGCTTTAATGGACAGACGTGGACTTGGTATTGAACAGTCAGTAGCGAACTAAAAGCACCGCATAAATTCCGAACAATTCACTTGATTATACCCACCGCCAATACTTGATGAATTCTAAAACTAACAAGTAAACACTTCTAAGTAAGTTAATTTCAGTGTACCACTAAAGGCAGGCAGGTACACTGTTCAAAGCAGAACACATAACGACCGTAAATCAGGCGGATAAAAAGATCAACAATCAGCTTATACCATAGCTCCCTCAGCATCTTGCTCATTCGCGAGGTCCTGAAGAAACCAGGTAGCACTACCATGGTCCACCACGTCAGTCTTCAAGTCGAGCAACTCAAACATCAAGCTTTCATCGCGTGTTGGATCTACAAACGCCTCCTACAGAAACACAATCCTTTGAATTACCCCCAACAACTGTAAAAGACAAAGCCCTAAACCAAATAACACCTAAAAAACTAAAAATCATCAAGCAAAATCGAGAAAAGAATTAAATAAAACGTTGCAAGTAATAACTGACCTGATGATCAGGAACTTGACGAACGTTACTGACGTCCTACACACAATAAAACAGGGCTAACATTAATTTCAACTGCATTCATCCTAGTTTAACACACAGACGCGCGCGAAAACAAAAAAAAATACATAGCATTAAAGAGAATAAAAAGACGCAAACCTCAAAGCGAATGGGAAACGTGGAGACGATGGCACCGCCGAAGAGAGAACGCTGAGCGCACAAATCTGCAGCCATTTTTTTCAAGTATTTGTTTTCGGGAATCACTGTGAAAATTCTAAAATAGCGAAGCAGAAAGAGTGTGGAGGATGGAAGATTTTATATGGGCTCGCTAACAAATTATAGCCCACCCACTCGCCTTGCCTTAACCTGCATCCGTGAAGAGCAGGTGGGAGTGAGTATAGTTAAATATCGTACTCACACTATGCAATGTACATTTTATAATATGTTAATGTTAAATAGGCATGGTCGCAGCATGAACATAAACAATATCACATATGTCTCATCTCCTTCATAACATAAACATAAATACTCCTGTGTGCACATCTTTCATAATAGTCGCGGAAAGGGGATTCATTACCCTAACGGTGAGAGTACGTGCCACGCAAGGACACGGCCTTTCATAATAGGTCTTAAGGAGACTTGCCTCGCACGGATAACTGTATTACATCGACGGAGAAAACTGTACCGATGGTCATCATAATAGCTCACATCGATAGACTACATATTCATGGTCATACATAGATCACGCCAACATATTTAAACACACATTGCACAGGTAATTTTAGAATAACAACCCACCTGGATTTCCGGGTTGAGAAACTCGACAAACAAAGGGTGTAGGTCGAGGCTTGACTCCTCAATTACCTACATTCGTTGGGACTTGTCTTAGAACCTTATCAAGGTGTAACTTATACTTGCTAGTCTTACACATAAATATAAACTTTGAAAACTAGCTCGCTTGGCTTCGCCTTGCTCGCATTCTTTGAAAACGTTTTATGTTTAAATCTTTTCGGTTGTTGGATATCTTGGCTTGCTTAACTTCTAGCTCTAAGGACATTTAAAGATCTAACATATCACATGGATCAAGAAATAAACCACTTAGGTCATATAATCGAGCATTTCGATGGTACGTGCCATTTTTTTAAATCAAACTAATGATTTTGCAAAACATAATATGCGTAGCGATTTTCAAATGATCACAACTAGCAGCACATAAGTTGAAATGACATAAAATCAGTGGCATGTGATTCCTATGACATAGATCTACTCTCAAGAACAACTCAGAATCAGACGAGGTCATTATCCACATGATAAATCAACAAACATTCACATAAGGGTGCAGTAAAAAATATTCAAACAGGATGGCAGTATGTTGAGGATAACTCGAGCTACAGTCATGATAAAAATATGAATCTGGTACTCGTAGAAAGGTAAGAAATAAAGCTACAATTGTTTTGAAGACAACTTTAGCAAATTCTGACATCGCCACAGAGATAAATCAACAAGAACACAAACATAGTTGCAGTCTGAAAAGGAAAATGGACAGCTTACAGCACAACAGTACTTTCAAGATAACGGGAGCTACAAACATGATATTATTGAAATTCAAAAACCCTAAGGTAGCTAACTCAATTTTCTATAACGTTTCTGAAGACTTCAGTGCCAAATAACAACATTATCAATGAGTTTAAATGCAAAACATTTAGTTCAAAGAAACAGTCAGAGAACAACATTTCGGATATACAGCACCTCAGAAAAATGACAACAACTCAAGCTACACAACTCCAATGCATACAAACTCAAAACCTACAGAATCTACATAAGGAAAGATACAAATTTCATGAATATCATTTTTACATATAATCACGTTTAAGGCATCAATTTAGAGCATACATTTTATGCATTCACACAGCCACTGTTTCAAAATTCTGGGCATAGATCCAACTTAGAAAAATCATATAAAATCAACCAAAACTTCAAATTGCATAATTCTAAATCGCACAGGCAGCTAACAACAAATACTACATTTGGTATGAAGAACACTTTTCATTAAGGCACGTTAAGACCATCTAAAACAGTAGTGAATTAAGGGCAAGATTTCTGTCCGAGTTTGTTCAAAATAGCATGTTCGTCCAACTTTGAAATTCATATAAAATTCATTTTAACTCCAAATCTCAAAATTCCAAAACTCACAGAAATCTCATTCAGAGCACTACAAAACTCATAAAGAACACTTGTCTAAGAAACATCATCTTGGTCAACAAAAACAGAGCCTAACTGAGACTCGATTTTTGGGTGTTCATGCCTTTATCAACTCAATACATCGCACAACAATCAAAGCATTGAAATCACTTCATTTACACGTTTAGCAAGCCTCGACATCACTACTTTTAGACTTAAACACTAGGTGGATCAATAAACACGTTGTCCGAGGTCCAACTCGGTCTTATAAAACAATAGAAAATAAAATCTTATGATTCGCGCTTGAATTATTACGTATCTTGCTATGATAATACATGACAATTCACATTAATATTAAACCAACATCTCATGTATTAGAATAATCAAGCGTCTCATCGCCATGAATCTCAAATCCTACATAATCCTTCAATTTAAACTCAAAAAAAATAATTGAAGAAGGTTAAGCCATATACCTCCTTCGGGAATAAACGAGAAACAGAGGAAGGAGGGTTCGAATAAAACGTCTCGACATCCAGTTTAAACGTCAACGGTCGAGACTATGCTGAGGGTCCGGGCATATACCTCCTTCAATTTAAACGTCTCGATTTTTCAGGTGGGTTTAATTCAAAAAATTGCTATGCTTTAAATGTTATTACTGTTTTAATTATGGTATGATCAAGTATGCATGTGGAACATATAGCCTTCGATGTGAGCTGTACCGGCCATCGAACCGTTATCCCCGTAGCTATAGAACGTACCCGTTGGGTAGTCTCCTTATTATTGTGAGCCGTAAGACCTGGGTTAAAGGTCCCTGTGCTGGACGACCCCCGTTGGTAAGACCAAGGTGAGGCCTTGGCTGGCGGGTTACTCCTACTGGCTGGACACGCGATGTAAGACCGGTGGGCTTTCGATATATAGTCGGCAGTAGTCTATACGTAGGTGTGCACATGAGATAATCAATAATATGTCAGGTATGGTCGTAGCACGTATATGAAACAATCATCTATCCCAATCTCCCACCAATCATATCAATAATAGACTCATGTGCACACCTACGTATAGATTACTGCCGACAATATATCGAAAGCCCACCGGTCTTACATAGCGTGTCCAGCCAGTAGGAGTAACCCGCCAGCCAAGGCCTCACCTTGGTCTTACCAACGGGGGTCGTCCAGCACAGCGACCTTGTCGTACGGCTCACAATAATAAAGAGACTACCCAACGGGTACGTTCTATAGCTACGTGGATAACCGTTCGACGGCCGGTACAGCTCACATTGAAGGCTACATGTTCCACATGCATACTTGATCATACTATAATTAAAACAGTAATAACGTTTAAGGCATAGAAATTTCAAATAAAACCCACCTGGAAATCGCGGGAGGATTACTCGAATATAAGATTAGTAGGCCGAGGGCTCGACTCCTCAAACACCTAATAATGTTTACTGCATAGTGGTCTGGACCAATTCGTTTGGCAATGGGTACTGAAATAAAGTCCGATCCGACCCGCGCATTTTACTGACCATTAAATGGCCCCACTCTGCATTTAGAGGGGGTCCTTTCTTTTTTTTTTTTTCTTTTTCTTTTAAACAATAGATATTATTATAAAACTCAAAAGTCATCTGTACACTGCGGAAATACATCTGCCACCTAGCAGAGATAGAGATTCACTAACAATAGTGATCTAGCAAAGAAAGAAAATACAAAGTTGTGGATCGGTATAGACTGAAGCTATAACTCCCGACCCGTCCTCTTATGAAGCTTGAATAACATGGTTTAGTATTATACAAAAGGATAGGCTCCCACTGAACTAAAGAACCAAGCAGCACTATCACTACAAAGAAAGAAAGACCAAAGCACCATAAAAACATGTCCATGCTACTGCAATTACATAAAAATAGAGGAAACTAAATTAGCAATGAGTATTCAGTCCAAGAAGCTAGGGCAGACTGGGCAATGGAGTATTGAGAAAGCCAAAAATTTTGGAAAACTCATAAATTTATAGCTTTCCAAAGCCACCAGAGAACAAACAGAGAGGTCAATTCTTTTGGCAAGGCTTGGAGTGTGTCTGTGGCTACATGTCTCAATCCACCACTGTTTAAAGTTGAAGGAGTCACATGCAAATTGTCCCATAAAACAGCTGCCAGCTTCCAAAACAGACCTTGCTCTACTACAATGCAAAAGTGTGTGTTGAAGAGTTTCCACTTCAAAACCATATGATATGCAGATAGGGCCCAAGTGTTTGAGTCTCAGCCGAAGCAATTGGGTAACTGGGAGTGTGTTGGTGAAGCATTTGCAGAAGAAATGTGATGGGTCTACTCCTAGATCTGGAGTGAACCGGTTGAGATGAGCTCCGATTTGTTTGAACTGCCTCCAATTCATCACGAACACCTGCAAGAACTCAACACTGGAGGGGTTTCCGGCGTAGAGCCTCCGACGCTCAAGTCAATATCAGAAAGAGGTGAAAGTGCTTTGCTTAGAGGAGCAGCAGCAGCATATGAAAAATGTATAGAGAGTATAGAAGTTAGGGTTTGGTGTCCCCGCCGCCCCTTTTATAGAGGTAAATACCTGCTTGAAATACCTGAAACGCCCTTGGTCGACCGGCGTGGTTACCCGGTCTATTTGTATCTTAATCACCTCTTAGTCAGATCCGAGTCAACTTAAGATTCCATCTTATCCGCTAAAGATTCATTCTTATTCATTAAATTGGTTTGGATATTTTGAAGTGTCTTGAGTCTTCGTACACCTCCAGCCTCGAGGTGTAGAGAGTCGACCTCGAGTAGCAGGAGGTCTACTTGGGGTTCACTTATAGGAATATGCCATGAGGCTCAATCGTTTGTCCTTGAATCGTCCTCGTCTTCTTAATGGAATTCGACTTGAGTTGGTCAGCCTCGATTCTCGTCTTCTTAACAAAAGTAGACTTTGAGTTAGTCGACCTCAACTTAGACAGTTAAGGAAGTCGACTTCCCCTATCGTGATGGCACAGAGGGTTGACTTGTGGATGTCAACTTCCTCTGTCTTAGTAGTGCAGAGAGTCGACCTGAGATGTGTTTCTTAAGTCGACACATAGGTAGCTCGACTCGTCATCCGATCGAGCNGAATAAATTT